GCCTTGGGGCTCTTGGTTGAGTAAAGGCTAGAGATGGTGTCTCGATAAAAATACTCATCTTGGGCAGATGTTAAATGCATCCGGCTGCTGTCTTGTAGAAGGCCTCCTAGGCAAAGACTTAAGGGGCAAACAGATTCTATCTGTTGACCAGCCTCGCACCCCTTCTTCATCTATTAGGCTGGCGCAGATGTATTTTTAATACATTGTTTCCAGTTTAGGATGTTGAACGCTTGATCTTCTTGACTCAATTCATGGGTTTTGCTTGTGTCTTTGTTTTTATGACTAGGCAACTCATTCTATTATCTCCAAATGAGGGTACAGCTCTAAAACTCAGTTTTATGGTTCTGAGGCCGGCTGGTAGTCAGGTTTCCCAAACTCTGTGGTAGCTCTCAGAGAGGCTGATTCCATCAACAGCTGAAAAATATCAGAGTACTAACAGTGTCATGTTGGCCGTAAATGGCGTCCCTGTTTGTACTTTTGGTGTGCATTGCCAAGGCCACATTGGAGCCCTTTGTTACGCCTTAGGGTTTATTAGTGAAAATGAGGCAATTGCTTGAGCTATAAAACAGTGTACTGAGTACTATTTATGTTTCGAGTCAAGTTCTTTAACAAATTTAAAAATGAATAAAGTAACAAAAACTATAAAACACAAAAAACCACAGTCATCACCAAGTTCGCTAAACCTATCATTCACCAATATTCGTGGTCTTCGAAGTAACTTTTCTTCTGTTGAGTCTTATCTCTTGCAAAGTTCACCAGACCTGCTTGCTCTTTGTGAGACTAATTTGAGTTCAGCTGTCTCATCTTGTGATCTTAGTGTTGATGGTTATCTTTCTTTAATTCGTAAAGACTCCAATAGTCACATGCTTGGCCTGGGCAATTACATTCGTGAGAATTCACCCATTTGTCTTTAAACTAGGTTTGAATCCACAGACTACTCTTTTATGTGCTTTCGTTTAGCATCACTTCACTCTATCACCTTTCTCTTTGTTCTATATCGCTCTCCCTCATCTCAAGACTGCACTCTTCTTGATGTTATTTCTGATTATATTGACCAAGCCCTGATTCTTTATCCATCAGCCAATATTGTTGTTGTTGGTGGCTTTAATGTTCATCACACTGAATGGCTTGGCTCTAGTGTCAGTGACTCTGCAGGCATTATGGCCCACAACTTTTGTCTTTCTCAATCCCTAACTCAAATAGTCAACTTTCCAACTGGCTTTCCAGACAACCCGAATCATTTATCTTCTCTACTCGACTTATGTCTTGTTTCTGATCCTAGTCAGTGCTCAGTTTCTTCACACTCACCCTTAAGTGCTTCTGATCATGGTTTGGTCTCTCTAAAACTATTATCTCATTCTTCTTTACCATCAGAATCCCCCTATCATCGTACATCTTACAACTACCTTGAAGCTGACTGGGACTTTTTCCGTGATTTTCTTCGTAATGGCCCCTGGGTAGAAATCTTTCATCTCCCTTTTGACAAATGTGCTTCTTACATAACTTCGTGGATTCAGGCTGGCATGGAATCCTTTATTCCCTCTCGACAATTCTAGGTCAAGCCTTACTCTTCTCCATGGTTTTCCTCGCATTGTGCTGCTGCAATTGCCAATCGAAACCATTACTTCCATATCTATCAGCAAAATAATTCCTCAGAAAACAGACGTCTGTTTATTACTGCTAGGAACCATTGTAAAAAGGTTTTGTCTAACACCAAAGCCCGCTATTCTCAGATCATGAAATCTCGTATTTCATCACAAAAATTAGGCTCTCGTGACTTCTGGAGAATCTTTAATAGTATCAATAATAAGGGCAAGTCTGTAATTCCACCTCTTTTGTATGGTTCAGACTTTGTCACCTCACCTAAAGACAAAGCTGAATTGTTTGCCAAGAACTTTTCATCAATATCATCTCTTGATGCCACTAGTTGCGTTTTACCTGATATAGCCATCAAACAGGTTGATCCATTGCTCGACATTCGTATCACTCCAGCTTCTGTATCTAAAGTGATTTCCCGCTTAGACTCTTCTACAGCTTGCAGCCCGGACAACATACCTGTTATAGTCTTGCAGAAGTGTTCTCCGGAGCTGTCTTCTATCCTTTCAAAACTATGAAACAAGAACTAACATCTTTAAGATTATTGAATCCTTTCTTTCCAATCGTAGTATAAAAGTTGTCCTTGATGGACAGCACTCTTCTTCTTATTCTGTAACCTCAGGGGTTCCCCAAGGTTCAATCCTTGGCCCTATACTTATTTTAGTTTACATTAACGATCTTCCAGATATTCTCACATCTAAGGTGGCATTGTTCGCTGATGATACTACCATTTATTCTTGTCACGATAAGAAGCCAACTCCCTCTGATTGCTTGCAGGGGGCATCTGAGCTCGAAAAGGATCTCACTTCTGCTACAGCATGGAACTCACAGTGGCTGGTGAACTTTAATTCAGATAAAACTCGATTTTTTTTGGCCAATCGTTATCGCAATAATTTAGACCTTCCTATATTTATGAACGGTAATGTACTTAATGAGTCTCCTACCCTTCATCTTCTAGGATTAACTCTTACTTCTGATCTTTCTTGGAAACCTTATATCAAATCTGTAGCAAAATTAGCATCTGCTAAAGTTGCTTCTCTTTATCGAGCTCGTCACTTTCTTACTCTGGATTCTATTCTCTATCTCTATAAATCTCAAATCCGGCCTTGTATGGAATACTGTTGCCATATCTGGGGCGGATCTTCTAATGATGCTCTTTCTCTTTTAGACAAGGTGCAAAAATGCATTGTAAACATAGTTGGACCTGCTCTTGCAGCCAACCTTCAACCTCTGTCACATCGTCGTAATGTTGCTTCTCTTTCTCTTTTCTACAAATACTATAATGGTCACTGCTCTAAAGAGCTAGTGTCTCTTGTGCCATCTACTAAAATTCATTCTCGTGTTACTCGTCATTCAATTAAGTCTCATCCTTTTTCTGTTACTGTTCCTAAGTGCTCCAAAATATCTTATTCGTCTAGTTTTTTTCCTCGAACATCAGTTCTTTGGAATTCGCTTCCTTCATCTTGCTTTCCTGATTCATATAATTTACAATCTTTTAAGTCGTCTGTCAATCGTTATCTTGCTCTACAATCTTCATCTTTTCTCTTCCTGTAACTTCCAACACTAATTAGTGGTTGCTTGCAGCCTTGTTGGAAGCGAAGATAATTTTAAAAAAATGATATATATAAATATATATATATATATATATATATATATATATATATATATATATATATATATATATATATATATATATATATATATATATACATATATATATATATATATATATATACTTGCGGCAAAGTGCTGCTATATTGACTGAAGGTTTGGCATTGGGCAGCAATCTTTTCATTCATTATTCTTTGTTTTTTCTTCTTTTTCTAAAAAAAACCATATCGATATAGATAAGCAAAAAATGTATATATATATATATATATATATATATATATATATATATATATATATATATATATATATATATACCATAAAATCACCTAAGTTCGGTCACTTAAACTTCAAACATTAATTTATCGCACATAAATAAAAAAAATTCAATTTTTTTCTGCTGAAACATACAGAAAATTATATTGATAATTGATATTGTAAAAATAAAAAAATGAAAATCAACTAGTACTCAATATTTAATTTAAAATGAAAATATCTACATTAGTTCAGCCGCTATATAAATACTATATATAAAAATGTATCACAAATTTAACGCCACAAATAATGAAAACTAATTTTTAAATATTGTTTTATTGTAAAATTATGATATAAATTCAGTAACTAAGGAGGGCGTCACCCTGGACTCAAAAAAATATATCTTTTGGGGCATCAAAGAAAACAAGAAGGAGCACGTAAAAAAAAGGCCTTTATAAATATAATTAGAAGTATTTTTAATTTTTATGGTAATTAACTTAATTTAATAATTATGGTAATTATAAATGGTAGTCAACTATTTTTTTACTTTGGCTATTATCACATTTGCTATGCCACTGGTTAATAAAATTAAAAATTTATTTTCAATTAATTTAAAAAGGTTTTTTCAATTAACAAAAAAATACTGCTTTGCTTTAAATGAGCTTTGTGTGTTTATTGGCAATTATTGCATGTATTGATGACCATAGTAGAACAGCAAGATGCACACAACCAATCGTCAGAGGATTTGTAACGCATCTATAATTGTTGTTGAGCTGTAGTTTTATCTCCAAAAAAAATGTCACAAGCTTGATATTTTTTAGAACTCAAAGAACCGCCAGTTAATTTTAAAATTATGAAAAAAAATTTTATTCAAATAAAATACCATGGTGTGTATCCATCATAAAAATGTCAAAGTTTACTGGTAAATTTACAGGCAAAGTTACCGGTAAATTTTACATTCATAAAAATTTCACAATATTACTGCAAATTGTCTCCTTCATTGTTTATCCATGAATGAACATAGAGTATTTTAAAATTTCACTAATTTTTATAAAAAAAGTAGTTATTTTTCAAAAATTAATATTTTTTTTTTGTAAATATAATTAATTTGGTGATTCTTAAAAATACTAAGATTAAATTTGATCATTTATTTTAATGATTTGCTTATTTTAGATTTTAATAGTATGCATTTTTTCAAATTGTTGTTTTGCTAAAGAATCATTTCAGCAGATTGCATATAAATAATTTTTTTTTTTTTATAGATTTATATTTACGAACTAATTACAAATATTATTTGATAAAAACAAGTTTGTAAAATTTGAATTTTGCATGCTTTTTTATATTTTTTCTTAAATGACCGAAGTTACATGGTGACTGATTTCGGCGATTTTACCGTATATATTTATATATATGTGTGTGTGTGTATATATATAGACACACACACACACACACACACACACACACACACACACACACACACACACACACACACACAAATCTGTATACATATATTTATCTACAACATTTTTTTCTTTATTTAGATATACAACAGTATCATATCGCTCACCAGAGATGATTGACTTATATTCAGGTCATGTGATTGATACTAAATCTGATATTTGGGTAAAATGAGTTGTTTTTTTAATTAAATAAAAAAAAAAACTTGATTACTAATTATGTTATTAATTTAAGTTATATTTATTATTTTAAGTTTTATTTATTAATTTTTATTTTATTAGTGTTGAATGAAGAATAAGAATGAATTTTTTACTATTAAAATGGTTTCTATTTTACTATTAAAATGTAACCAATTATCATCTAGGCTTTAGGTTGTCTTTTATTCAAGTTTTGTTTCTTTGTTCCTCCTTTTGGTGAAAGCACATTAGCTATTCAAAGTGGTAATTTCTCTTTCCCTGAAAACTCAAAATACTCCAAAGAGCTTCATAATTTGATATGTAAGTCACCTATTTTGTAATTCTGTAATATATTGTTTTATTGGTCGTTATATGGTCATGGTTAATGTTTTATTGGCTGAAGTTGATGTTTCCTACAATTTATGCCATATTAACATGACACTTATGATATATTGGTATAAGTTTCATATTGCTGAAGCAAAGAGAAAAATAATTTTTTCATTTTTTACAGCTTCTATTTTAATTCCTGATCCTGTTAAAAGACCAAACATACATCAAGTAATTAAAATGGCCTTCAAGCTTGCAGGATGTTTAAATCCACCAAACCTTAGTAAAGTAAGATTTTCATGATACATTAACAGATTGCTGTTGTATATAATGTAGTTTTTACGTAAAAAAAAAAAATTGTGTTTAATTTTTATATCTCTCAGATATTTCCATAATATAGATTTAAATATTATTTTTAGACTGTTATAAAAGATACTTCTGTTTCTACAAGTTTGACTGAAAAGAAAAGGTTTGAATTTTTTTTTATGTCTAGCTCTTTTTTGCCATTTATTATGGTAGAACTTTTACGTAAGGCTTCCTGAACTCTGTGCTACCTCTCAGAGAATTCGATTCCATCAGCAGCTGTTAAGTATCAGTGTATTAACAGTGCCATGTTGCACATGGATGGTTTCTTTGTTAGGGACTTTAGTGTGCGTGTTTAAGGCGTATAAGGAGCTTTTTGATTAGCAATTTTAATGCTTTATAAGTTTTATCAGTTAAAGACTCATATTTTATAATTCAACCTGGTTCTACCCTTTGGTTTTCTGTTTATTGCTACATCTAATTTTAGTTATTTCTTTAATCCTTTTCAGAAGAAAAATTCGTATGAAAACAAACATCTTATTATCATTACAAAAATACTTTAAAGATCTCAGATGCTCAGTCCATTCTCACATTACTAAATCTATTAAATCAAATTTCATATCAGAAGTTTGGGTCCTAGAGGTTTGGTTCCAAAGTTGCCTTTTTTTCTAAAAATACTACCATATTTGCTACTTTCATTCTTGTTTCATTGACTTATTATCACTTATTTCATCAAGCTATCATCTTTGGTTTTATCAAGCTATCATCTTTTGTTTCATCAAGCTATCAACTTTTGTTTCATCAAGCTATCAACTTTTGTTTCATCAAGCTATTATTGTTTCATCAAGCTATCAACTTTTGTTTCATCAAGCTATCATCTTTTGTTTCATCAAGCTATCAACTTTTGTTTCATCAAGCTATCAACTTTTGTTTCATCAAGCTATCATCTTTTGTTTCATCAAGCTATCAACTTTTGTTTCATCAAGCTATCAACTTTTGTTTCATCAAGCTATCAACTTTTGTTTCATCAAGGTATCAACTTTTGTTTCATCAAGCTATTATTTGTATCCTCAAGCTATCGACTTTTGTTTCATCAAGCTATTATCTTTTGTTTCATCAAGCTGTCAACTTTTATTTCATCAAGTTGTCATCACTTTTTTCGTTAAGCAATCATCGCTTGTTTCATCTCTGAAGAGTGTCCAAAGGAGAGTTGGTTTCTTTAGATACATTATAGGCAAGCTTGCTCTTAGTATGTAATTACTATCTTAGTATGTTTCCACTAGGTAAGCTTGCTATTTATTAGTTTATTGGTTTTACCAAGTTTAAAATAAATCAGTAAAACTTAGATATCAAAATTAAAATACTCTTATAAATGATTCTTGTCGTAAATATCTTATTAAAATGATTTCTTATGAGTTTATTGGAATATTGTTTTTATTTGTTTCTGTATCCGCAGGGTCTTTTTGATTTGTACAAAAGGTCCTTAAAGTTAATTTACTATAATTGTACTAAATATTATTCTGTTTTTAGAAAATCTTCTGTTCCTTCACAGCCCAAATCTCTCAATACTGCTGTTGCTTCAAGAGAACGTCCCGTTGCTACTTCATTAGCTCCACGACAGCGTCCTAAAGGTAATAGCTCAGTAATTGAGGCTGAAGGAAGTGACGGAGCAATGCCATACAAACATTCACACATTGAGAACGTAAAAAAAAGTTCCAACTTGCGTCGAAGTCATAGCTTGAGGGAAACTACTAATCAGACATCTTTACTAAATAATCAAAGTAACTCTAGTTCATTTGAAAATGACATGACTCCTCAAAATCCAGTTATGAATATCAATTCTTATCACCACGTTCCGAAACAAGATTTACTTTTGCAGCAAAGAGATTTATATCTTCAACAGCAGTTTATGCAACATCAGCAGATCCAGTATTTACAGCATCAAGAATATCTTCGTCAGCAGCAACAACATTATGAATATTTCCAGCAACAACATGATTTCCAAAAGCAAAGGGAAATGTTCTTGTATCAGCAAGAGCTAGAAATGCGAGCTATACAACAACAGAATATTTTAAGACAGCGACAAGAAGAGTATGCTCGTTTACAGAATCTACATGATAGCGAACAACAAAACAATCAGAACAAGTTGAATGAAGCAAACATAAGTTCGTCAACGCCATTTAGTGATGATTTTAGTCGTACACCATCCGATTCTCAGAATCCATTTTCGCAAGATATCGTGTATGGAGTTTCTATAATGGACAAAAAGAATACTCACAATCGTTCCAAATCTGAAATTATATCAAAGCCTGTATCAGAAAAAGATAAAGTCATAAAAAGTGAATCTAAAGTTTCTAACCCATTTTCAGATAACATGGATGTAGGTGTGTTATTGGAAATTGATGACGATGAGCATTTTATACGTTTGCAAAAAGAATTTTTAGAATTAGGAATTGGCGATAATACTGCTGCTGGCAACAATATGCATGGTTTAGCTGATGAACCAAATCAATTATTACTAGCGACCAAAAAATACCACTACGAGCGAACATCTTCTTGTAGCAGTAGCAACAGTGAAGTTAGATCATCTAGCGAATCTTCTGATGGTGAAGAAACCAAATACACTAATTTAAATCAGCTTGAAGATAATATTGATGCTGACGCTACCAGTATGAATAAATGTAATAAAATAGGTTTTTTAGAATCGAGAAATAATTCAAGTTCTGGTCTAACCCAGCAAATGAAACGCAATGTTCAAGATAAAGATGTTTTTGATTCAGCACCTTTCTTAATATCGGACACATCAAAAGTCAATCGTAATGTTCGAAGTAAGGATAATTTAGATAAAGTTACCTCAAGTAATAATTTGAACACTTCGCAAACTGTTTTTTCTGATTCTCAAGGATTTACTGATCAATTCACTTCAAAAATTCGTTCAAATCAATCATCTGATTTATTTGGTATGGCTCCTATAGACAAAATAAAAACAACTAAAAGCAATAATGATATTTTTGCAGATAATCCTTTTAACATGGCTTCTTCTACAAAATTTAAAGATGAAGGTAGTAAAAATGCTGAAACCAGCAGAATAAATCAGGTTGCGGATGACAATAGGAAGCCTCCTGTCAAAATAAGCGATGACCCATTTGGATGCGCCCCATTCGTCAAAAGTAAAACTAATCGTATGGATTCAAATGTTCAAACTAAGATATCGAATAGAAATCGACAGATACCCGGCGCATACAATTAATTGAATGGATAATGTGGTTATAAGTAGTGCGCAATGATTATATAGGTGGTTGCGCAATTATATGGAATGAATTGCATAATCTAATTTATTTTTTTAAATAATTTTCACTTTTTCCACTTTTACTACGTCGATTTTTTTTTTTTTTTTTGAATATTTGGAAAATTAAGTTCACGTTTGCTTGAAAAATAAAGCAAACATTCGCATACGTTCGATCATTTCAAGTTTCATCAATTGTTGATTGATGCGTTCGGTCAAAGAATTGTAAAAAAGTGTAAATTACAAAATGTAAATTATTCATGAGTTTTCTTGTTCTTTTGCAAGGTTTTTTTTAAATGTATTTTTATAAATTTGTGGTATTCTGGGAATTTTTGCATAGTAAGCTTGTTACTTTAAAGTCCGTAATTTCAAACTTTTATAGATTAATTGTATATATAGATAGTATTTGTTGTTGTTGTTTTTTTTATCTTATTCATTTATACTAATTTTTAATAAACTGTATAATCTCTAGTTAACAACTTAGGACTTAGGACTTAATTTTAGAATAACAAAAATCTCAGTTTTGACCAGTAACGAACTGGCCCACCGAAATACTGGAAAATTTCCCGGTGTCCTAGTTTGAAAACTATTAGCATTTTTTCCTCGACAGCATTTCTACAATCGTTTTTCTAAAGGTTCTTTAAAAAATTTTAAAGAACCTTTAGAAGTATTTTTTTTTTTTTGTTTGTTGAGATTTTGAAGAAATTCTTAACTGACTTTAACTATAAGAACAACTTTGCGATAAGCCAATCTTTTTAGTCACTTTTTCTGTTATAAATTGGAAAACCGCGTTTGAGTCGAAATTAGAAAATTCAAAAAAGTTTGCAAATTTTTATTGTAAAAAATATTAAGTTTATAAATATTTTTTAAGGTCAACTTAAAACCGCGCACATATTTTTGTTGCAGTAACTGCAGCTCTTTCAATTCTTTTCGAATTTTTTTCTAATATTTTTAATCAATTGCGACAACTACTTTTTGATTTATACGCGAGTATATATATACAGTAATAGTAATATTCAGCTTTTGTTAACTGAATTTTGAATTTACTGAACATGTATCTTATTAAGATAATCTTACTAAGTTTTAGTTAAACTTTATTGGCTTATGACACATCGTAGAGAAAAGCAAGAGGAGGCGCAGAAAAAATGACACATCGTAGAGAAAAGCAAGAGGAGGCGCAGAAAAAATGCGAGCAAAAAAGAATTAAAGAGATTTAAAATTATGTAAGCAACTAAGATCTTATTTTTCAAATTTTACTTCGAATATTTAAGTCACATTAGGTAATGATAATAAACTTTGTTCACTTAATTAGTTAATATTAACTAATTAAATGAATTAAATTCATTACAATGATAATAAAAAAAGGGTAAAGAATAATATAATCTTTATTCGCACAGTTTTAATCGCCGATGATATTAATTTGTTTTAATCTAATAAAGATTTTAATATTTTTATTTTCAACAGTTAACAAAGAACTTGAGAATTAATGCATTGCGTTAGTTCATCAAGTTAGTTGAAGTCCAATAAATTATGTTTAAATATTATTAAAACTAAATGCATTATTCCATAGCGCTCATAAAAAAAAATATTTACTATTAAAACATACAAATCTTTTTATTTATAATAACATAAAAGAGGAAATGTTGTTAAAATTTTTAGATCTCCAACAGATGCCTTCTGTATTTCAGATTGAATTGGTGTAGGGATATATACCTTGGTCAGGTAGATGTTCACAAACTCTTGCTGATTTAGAGGAACTTAAATTAGTCTGTTTCACTAAATGAACTGCAGTTTATACTGTGGAGTGTTGCTTCGTCATTCTTTTTTGGCGGATGATTTTTTTAAAATTTCAGATAAGTCGAAGTCGTGATATGATAAATCAACAGTATGTAAAACGCACGTATGATAAATTAAACAAAAAGACAGTTGTTGAATGTTTTAGACCAAAAGGAGATACTGGTCCAAAAAATGACACTGACAATATGCCCCTTAATGAGTATAAAAATAAAAGTCCATAATAAAAAAATATAGTTTATAATATAAACATTCAAGAATTTATTCATTCGTTTACTTTATAGAGGCAGTGATTTTTGAAAATGAAGGCCCAGCGGTTCTTAATTAACAATAAAAAGTATATTTGCGCGGATTTTAGAAAATTATGTAATAGGGGAAGACGGGGAACATTCAACCATGGGGAACATTCGACCTTTTCAAATATTTCCCAACATGATAAAAATTACCACTCAAAATTTTTATCCGTGTTTTGTCTGTTAATAAGCTATTGCGGGAAATAAGTATTGATCCATCTTTATTAGTATTAGTACTTATATTAAAGAAAAAAAATTATTGATCTAAAAGGTAATTATTTTATGTTTTAAATAACCCGCAGAGAATCTCATTTCCAATTTTACCCTCCTAAACGTTTTTATTGTTTATTGTTTAATGATATCTTGAGTTAAAAACCTTTGTGTTTGGTTTACTTTAAAAAATTGATTTTGGCTTTTAACAGCGTTTGTTTATATATAACATGTGTAGGGTACATTCAACCTACCTAGCTGGGGAACATTCGACCGGTGCTTGAAAATACCACGATAATTTATTTCTCTTATCTTTTAAATGCCTCGAAAATATGTAACGAAAATATATTGAAATTAAAGAAATGAAAATGTGGTAATAGAAAAAATTATTAGTATTTTCAATAATTCACTGTCTGAACCACAAGCCGCAAAAAGATTTTATGTCCAGATATGTTACAAATAGAACCCTAATGGGAGAAACAAGTGAAAGTCTAGGGGTAATAGGTACACCATTACAAAATAATTTACCACTCTTATCTACCAATGAAACGCATACTTCCTGCAACTAATAGAATAACTCTAACAATTAAAAACTGATTCCAGAACATGTGCTATATATATTATTCTATAGCTATATATATTATTGTTAAAACCAGTTAGCTTTTCAACTAAAGAGAAAATAAATGATACAATATAATAATCTATCAGAGGTAAGTAAATTTATTTTCTCTTTAGGGGTTATCATATAGGAGTATGAATAATACTTAAATTTTAAAAATATTTTCAGTTTACACTAAAAGCCTACACTGGTGATCCATTATATAAATATTTGAACCTCACAATTTTTGATTGGCACTGACTGCACTAAAACTACAAATATTATAACATTGCAAATATCAATATAACATCTATCATAAACAAATAGATGTTAGGTCTTAATATAGACAAACAATAATTTTTTTTAGTTATTTAAAGAGTAGTTACCACTTAAAATGCATAATTTTTCTCTAAAACTTTTAGAGAAAATTTATGCATTTTAATTGGTAACTATTTTTCATAATTTTTCTACTTTTAGTAAAAGTAGAAAAATTAGGAAGCTAAGAGTTAACTATAAACGTTCTATAGCGTTGTTAAAAACCAAACAGAAAAAACAATTTAAGAAATAGTTTAAAAAAATGCTGAAACTGATACTTTTTTGAAACTACTGCTACTTTTTTGAAACTGATATTTTAGTAGCAATAACTAAAAAAAAGAATTATCTACACTATTTTGATAATTCTTTTTTTTAGGTATGTGCGCATCCAATGAGTTACGGCAACGATTATGTAATCCAAATCTTTGACCATTTTATCAAAGCGTGCTAAGCGTTTGAGTTGTAAGAATGTATTTTGTTGTGTTATTTTTTAGGATTTTATATCAGCATAGACTTTTTTTGAAAAGTGGAAGAGCTAAACTTCATTTTTGGATAAATTTTTTTTTGTAATTACAACCGCTTTTATTGAATTTTTAACGAAAAACTTCGTTGTTAATCACACGTCAAATTAATATTGAAGGAATGCTTAATAGTTTCAAAAATGTTCTCAAATTTTTGAAACTATTAAGAAAAATTCAAAAACTTATTTTCTACGTGCATGCCAAATTTTATCGAAAAAGATTATGTAGCAGACACCTAATTTTTTGTAGCAGAATAAGTATCTTAGTTAAAATATTGTAAATAAAGCAAAATATTGCGCTTCTAGGCAACAAAGTTCAATAACAAAACTACCGTTAGCCGAAACTGATATTTTCAAACTGGCCTTTTTAAGCAATCCTTGTAATCAAACTATGTTACTTAAATGAGCATAACTTTTTGTAAAATTGTTATTTTGTTATCAATTTTTCACTATTGTAATGCTGGTTTTAGCCTCTTTTCAATGATATATAATAATCAATAATAAAAATAGTTTCAAATTTTTACACACATGCTAAAAAATACATTGTTACTGTACTTAAAACTACTTTTAATCGCATATACAATATTATCGAAGAACTTACAGGACTTTTTAACTACTTCATTAGCCACAATATAATACTAAAAAGAAATTTCTTTTATCTTTTCTAAACTATTTATTACATAATTTTAGAATCATAAGAAATTCTAATTTTTAATCATAAAGAAAGATTCAAAATGTCCGACACATTCTTTGCGAAACTAATTTAATTAAGTTAGTTCCGTACAGAAATTGTTTGATTTAGCTTTTCAACGCAAATAAAATTTTTAGAACACGTTTAAAATAGATTCCTAAACGTTTAGATCGACGTAAATGCCATCTAAACGTGATCTAAACCAATTTTAAACAAACAAATGCCCGTTGCGAGATTTTATTTTATTTTTAAACATATATATCCTTTGTGCGTTTACAGCTTCTGGAGTCAGATTGTTCCAGATATTGACTCTAGCAATATGTTTTTTGTTTATTTCTCCAGGCTTTTGCCTGAAAAAAAGAAAAACCTAAAAGACAACAGGGCATGGGGCAGTAGTACTGAGTTGTATGATGCCAGTAGCTGGTTTATCGTGATGATCCTGAATTTAATTTTACCTGGAGTAGTTAATATAAGAAGTTATTTCCTGTAAGCAGTACTTAGAAATATTAATGATAATATTTTGGAAATGCATTAGGAAAGACATTACATCTAACAGATTACTAGAAAGTAAGGTTAGCGTAGCTTTTCTAGCGGGAGTTGGTTACTGAGCTCACACTGCAACAGAAATTTAAGCAGAACACAAATATACGTAAATTAACTTACATGTAAGTAAACACCGCGCCAGAGGTTGAGGAAAAACAAAAACAAACATATGGTACCTTACGGGTGAACCAACACTGCACCAAAGGATCAGACAGAACACAAATATGCATAAAGTAACTTATGGGTGAGTAAACACGCGCCAGAATTTTAAACAGAACACAAACATACATATATATATAAAAATTGCTGATCTAACACAGTAACAAAAACACCTCCAAATAGTATTATCCAAGCAAATCAACTTAAAACATTATTATGAAGATAAAATTCAAGACTTGTGCTGTTTTTTTTAACGGGTGATGCAGTTATTGGACAAATTTT